CAATTTTTATATCCTGCGCCTATACTGGACGACATACCTAGGTCCTATTAGACATCATACGCCGGGTTCATAGTCAACTGAAACAGACAATCCTTCAACCGCCATTTTTGAAACCCCTCTTCTTGTCTCGGGAGCGGCAAGGACTCAAAGCAAAGGCACATACCCGCCATTTTTGAAACCCGTCTTCTTGTCCCACCTGCGACGATGAGAGGATCAAGATGAAGAAGAGCCAGGCCTACTTAGGGGCTGTCTCTTATACACATCTAGATGTGTATAAGAGACAGCACACACACACACATAGGAGAGTGGAACACCAAATCAGAAATTGTCAGTAAGGGAACTCGAATCCCGAAAGTTTTCCCGACAAGCTCGTTTCTCTTTTTTTTTTTGGAAATGAAAAGGAAAGGAGAAGTAAAGGAAAGCTGCGCGATCCCCGCCGTGATGCCATTTGGCTATCATCAAGGCCATTTCTCGACTGTCTGGAAAATGCCGACTACTTCTGCTGCCCAAAGCGCGGGGTCACGGGAAGCAATTAAAAAAAAAAACGGAAAAAAGGAGCTCGGGGTCATGGAGAGGGAAGGAGGGAAAAAGGAAAAAAAAAGTGGTGAACTCGGTACATCAACGAACTGTTGAGATAATCAGATCAACAGAATGGGAAGAAAAAGGGAAAAGAAGGGAGAGAAAAGGAAGCTTGGGGTAATGGAAAGCAGAAGAAAAGAGAAAAAAAAAAAAAAAAAAAAAAAAAAGAGAAAGTAGGAGGTGGGGGGGGCGGTGGGGAGAGAGGGAAACGGAAACAAGGAGGAGAGAGGGCAATACGAATGCAGACGGGGAGAAGCAGAGTTCCAGTCCGGGAGGTCCTAGAGTATACTCACACTAGGAATCTGCTGGATGTATCTGACCTAAATTACGGCTGGGCTGCGGTGTATCTGACAGCAAGCACGTCCAGAGATCAGTCGAGAAATTCACACACGGCCTCAAGGAGCAATCTGCTGAAGAACGAGTGAAGGACTTGGAATAGACACCAGAAAAGAAGAGCAATGACCCAGATTTTAAAAAGATAGGGGGTTTGGGGGGGGGGGGGAGGGATAATTAGGGGCGTCTACTGCGTCATCAGTCTAGTCCGGCAATAAATTTCAGTACGAAATGACATCGATCTGAAACATCAAGAAAGAGTGAAACTCTCAGTCTATATATAAATGACTGAAAGAATCTCAACGATCTGGCTCGAATATATATAGACTGAGAGAGTTCCACTCTTTCTTGATGTTTCAGATCGATGTCATTTCGTACTCAAATTTATCGCTGGCTATACTGATTGATGGAATAGAAGACGCTCACTATTTCTTGCCGCCTGTCTTTTAAGAATGTGGATCATTTCTCTTCTTTTCTGGTTTCAATTTCAAGTCCTTCACTCGTTCTTCAACAGATTGCTTCATGAGATTTTATTTAGAGAATAAGAATATCTACATACATACACATATNAAAAAAAAAAAAAAAAAAAAAAAAAGCCGAAAGGGTCGTGATCCCGAGCATTCAGGGCGTATTCACACTAGGACTTTTTCTGGACGAATCTGACTGCAATTACGGTCGGGCGTGGCTGCATCTGACCGCAATTACGTCCAGAGCTCAGTATAAAAAGTCGTAGACTGAGTATATCGCCTTAGCCGTTCGGCCGGCAAACAGCAGAAAACAATAAATAAAATGAGCGCGAGATGTCCTGGAAGAAGATTGACTATTGATTCGCTGTTGAGCGAAACGCAGCTGGGAAGGTGACACGTGGCGCCCTGATGAGGAAGAAGACGAGAAGCCAGCATCGGCGAGAACTAACTTATCAGACCATCCCACGTGGCAAATTATCGATAAACAGACCTGAGTTCGAATCCTGTAACTTACCAAAGGGGTGACCGTGGGCGTGCCTACGGGGGCAGCGGGTGTCGCTGGCGAGGGTGGGGCCGGCGGCGGGTTTCCCGCCACTACCGCCGCTTCAGACTCCTCAATGGTCGGTCTAACTCGCGCGCCGGGCTCCGCGACGGAACACACAGGGCATGGCTGCTTTCTCCCGCCATATCGCCGTGGAAATTTCCAGCCAAATTTGCTCGTGGAGGAAGCGGCCGCAGCGTCCAGCGCCTGCTTTCCGCCGAACAGCGACGAGCGTAGGCTCGCACATGTCCCGCCATTGCCATGCACCTTGACGGGGGCTAAAAATTCCCGCCCTTTGACAGTTGATAGAGACGAAGAAGTCGCCGATGAGCTCAATGCCGTGGCTGCTGCGGCGCCATTCACCGCGGCCAGGGACGCCTGTGCTGCCATTGTCACCTAAACTCTCTCTCTCTCTCTCTCTCTCTCTCTCTCTCTCTCTCTCTCTCTCTCTCCTCCCCCCCGGTCTCAACCGAGCTGAGCTGACCTGAGCTCACGTGGCAGATCCCACGTGGCCGAAATGACGTGGCAGCTGCTCGTCGTGTGACGACAAACAGCCGCCGTCCAACGAGCACTACAGCCAACCTACAGAGGCCACCTACTACACACTATACCACCTTTTCCCGCTCTCTTCCGGAGAACATTCGTCCTCCTATCCGCCGGGTGGTCACTGGGGGCTGAATGAGTGAGATCTTCCCGTTCGAGGGCACCAGCGACGTCAGTTTTCTCATCGCCTTTCCACTGGGAACCCGCGGGAGGGGGAACTGCGTGCCTTTTGATTGGGAACTACTTCCATCTCGGCGATTGGACATCGGATGCTTGAACTCCATTGGTCCGCGAGATAACCCAGATCTGCCGATGGGCCCAGCTCAGTTGACACGTCCATGAACTGTGTGAAATACAGGCCCTAAGTTCGAATCAATGAAGTAAAATAAAAATATAAAAATAACAATGAAGATCTGAGCAGGCGGCCTGGCTCAGTTGGTTAGGCACGCAAGTGGCCTTCAGGAGGTCGTGGGTTCGATCCCCTCTGACCCACCTCCGGGGCACTCTTGCTGCCAACCAGCTGAGATAGTCGGCTTGCTGCCCCCGTTCGGTGTTAGGGGTCTGGTGTGTGTGTGTGTGTGTGTGGTGTTGTGTGCAGTGTGTGTGAGACTGCTGGTCATTGAGACTGCTGTTAGACAGTGGGGGCAGCGGAAATAGACGGGAGGCGCAGCTACTGGCAAAATGGTTCGCTGGGCCGCAGGAGGGGGAAGTAGATGGGAGGCGCAGCTACTGGCAAAATGGTTCTCTGGGCCGCCAGTGGGGGAAGTAGATGGGAGGCGCAGCTACTGCCAAAATGCTTATCTGCCCCCCCACGGGCGGCCCCACTCTACTCCGTCACCACCACCAATTAGGGCAAGGTTGTGAGAGTTAGCGATGCTTGTGCCTGTATAGTAGATAGGAGGCGCAGCTACTGGCAAAATCCTTATCTGCCCCCCCACACGAGCGGCCCCATTCTACTCCCTGACCACCGCCAATTAGGGTGAGGTTGTGAGAGGTAGCGATGCTTGCAGGGGTCCCCTGTATAGGCTTAGGAGTAGTGGTAGGTAGGTACGGAAAGATGAAATTGAAAGAAGAAGAATCTAGCTTAGTTCTTGGGACAAAAAAAAAAGAAAAAAAACAATCAAGATCCGATGGACGCGGGGGAAGTAGATGGGAGGTGCAGCTACTGGCAAAATGTTTAGCTGCCCCACCCTACTCGCTGACCACCGCCGATTAAGGGGGGGGGGTGCAGGAGGTATCCATCCTTGCAGGGGTCCTCTGTATAGGCTTAGGAGTAGTGGTAGGTCTGAGGGAAAGGTGAAATTGAAAGGAGAATCTAGCTTAGTTTTTGGGACAGGCGAAAGAAAAAAACAATCAAGATCTGATGGATGCGACATTTGAGGTCGGCTCCCAAGATTTGTGCCTCTAAGAGGTCGGGTCCAAGATTTGTTCCTCCAAGAGCATAGTCACACTACCGTTTTTAGCCCTAATAGTGTACGAGGTCACTATGGTTGCACCTGAACACTGGAAGTCTCCCCAAATATAGTTATAATGATTGTGTGTTCTATTCGGGTGAAGAGAGAGATTTGGGGGTCTAATTGCGAATCCGATACACGCAGGATACACCCAGGATGGACCCTAATAGTTGCCAAATACACCCAGAGGAGGTTTTTTTTTATAAGACATAGACCCCTTTTATATTTTGGGAGGGCACCAGTCCGGTTGCTAATACCCGACAAGCAAAAGATAATGATTACAAATCAATAATGTCAAGGTTTCCTCAGGGTCAACCATAGGTAGCGGGGGACTATTTGAAGTACTCAGTCTTATCATGTAACACTAAGGATAATGCATGGAACCACTTACCAACTACCAGCATATTGCAAATCGTTAGAAAATTGGCACAAAAACCAAAGCACGAAAAAAACAACAACAACAACAACAACAACAACAACAACAACACAACTACAAACATCGAGTGACGGCCCCACAGGAAGAGCCCGGCAAAACAAAAAAACAAACAATATAATTAGACACCACATTATCTAACTTACTAACCTGAACTCAACAAAATGAAACTAAACTAATTAATAATTTTTACTCAGGACCTTTCAAATATTGCAGACTTTGAGAGGGACTATGCCCCTCCTGAGGATGTTAAGAATCCTTAGGAGAGGCTGGTTGGTTTTGCACAATGAGTGCCTGCTTAAAAACATATCGCTTACAACTATAATCAAAAGTATCAAAAGATGGAAAGGGAGCCCAGACACGTGCCAAGAAGGACTAAGTAATTGGAATGGTTCAGTGCTTTTGCAAAAAATCCGCTTGTATGCTCTGCTGAATATTAAGAAGAGTCAACCGTTGTACATAAATAAGCGATGAAGTTTTATTTTTGTCGCACGAAGGTACTCTTGATGGTCCAGAAAACTGCTAAAATAGCAACACGGATCTGTTCAGAAACATAAAACCAAGTATTCGAATTTGAATTGACAATAACTCCAAGCAATACATTTGTTGCCATATCATATGACTTAGTAGAGAGTTCATCGAATTGCAATGATTTCTTCTGCATACCATTGGGAGTCACCATTCATGTAGCAAATTGAAGGAAAAACTTACAAGCGGAGTACTTACCTTAAAATGAAGAAACTGTCATATCCTTTTACGTCCTCTTTGTGGAAGGACCAATATTGAGACCAAATTCCCACTATTAATTATGACTCTTCGCTCATTCAGCTGCAGGGAGTGTCCCAAGTCTTTATACTCTGATTCACAGGTTCAAGTTGGGACTTCAACCCATCATTGGGAATATTTCAAGTTAATATCTGAAAAATTCCTTGGTGTGGGTGAATTGGCAATTCTAACTCATTATGAAATTTCAAGTTTGGAAAATTGCATCTGGAAAACCCAGTGGTCCAGAATAGCTTGTAGATTGTTATCATTAATTTTCTCCAAATTGAATGTGTGTGAGGAGTATGTATATGAGTTTCATTAAGAACTTGAAAGTCCTTAAGACTTAAGGGTGCGTTACAGTGGCGAATTCGCCCTCACCACACCTCATTTCTCCTTCCACACAACCTTTCAAATGAAGATAACTTCCTCTCTGTCTGGCCAGAGTCAGTTTCCCTCAAATTCAGTCCAGCTTGGTGAGAGAGCAAATGACGAGTTTGTCCCTCTTCGGGGGGGAACGACCATATAAGGACTCGGACTTTAATGGGATTAGTGCTTGCAACATCAAGTTGTTGGATTGAATGAATCAGTTATGAAATAACAACAGTTGAGCTTGTCTATAAGAACGATCTATGCGACAACCCACCATCTCTAGATCAAGAGGATCGTAGGGCGAACTAGAAAGCAGTGATTCAGAATCGCTCTCGGTGATGAGGAGAACTTCTTACAACAACTTTTACTACATGTAGGGGATAAAAACCATTTTTGTTTCACTTTTGTCCTTGTGACCAACCCATCAGGTGTAGGTAGGCAGTTGTAATTAATTTGTGTTTCGATGTTGGCATCCATGTCACTCCCAAGAATGGGCGAGTCCTTAGTTCCTCGTTCCTTTATTGTTTTGTCATTCGGACTAAATCTATTACAGACACAATATCTTTGTTTGATAGTGTATTGTCATAACTACATTCTCTTTCTTTCGTTAGCTTCAAGCGATCATGCCCATTGTGTTGGATTAAATGGTAGGAAACAAATCGAAGTAATTGACTTATAGACATAGTTTTTTTTCACCGTCTTCTACTTTCCCCACTCTCACGAGGTGATACCAGTTCACTATCCGATCAAGTTCTTCGTTCCGTACCAGTTTTTACCATCTAGCTCTGAGATGGGCAGAATCGTGTTCTTCCATGTAAGTGTCAACCCTCTTCCTTGACTCCACTCAATAACCTTTATGGGAAAATAAAGATTTGCATGGAGAACGACTCGGTCCTCATCTTCCACCATGGGTTGTTTTTAAGTAGATTCACCCAGGTCAGAGTAATTGCCTCTTGTAGCTGCAGCAGTTCCCAACCACCAGGACTCACTATAAAAGGAGTCTGTTTAAGATCGTCATGCAGGAAATGTCAGTGCTTATAGTCAAATCGAGATTCAAGACCACCCAACACACATTTGACAACCTGCAGGCAAGAGAATACATAATAATGTACCTTAAATCCTGAATCAAAACCGCGTAGGACAAATGACTGCACATAACGTTTATTGAAGATGACACTAACACACCAATGTCAGTGAAGAACCAAAAAATCTTGGAAGCATAAGGTCAGTTCTCTAAACTTGAAAAATAGTTGGGCTGAAGAAAATAATGGCAGAAATAAATGACTCCCAACTACAACGGAAAAATTAGAGGATGAACGAATGAAAGTTGACGTACTGGCCTACATCTTTCATCTTCGTCCCCCAGTCGACTGTGTCCCTCTCCTTTCTTCTATTTTCTGGTTGACCCCCCTCTCCCAAACCATCTTCCACAACACTCGATGTGAGCAGCGTCCTTCCTCCTCGTCTTCTCCAATTGCGGATTCAACAAGCTAAAGATTCTGAGGTGCAGACAACGGACAAAGAGGGCATAATACATGATGAGGGAAGACGAAAAAGCGATGCAAGACACCTCAAACCAAAATTTAAAAATATATAACAATCGTGACAGACAATGTAAGGGGAAGGGGTGACCCGAGACTCGTAATAACAAAAGAAAAATGAAGTTTAGGGCAGTGCTCGATATAGATAACATGAAAAGGGAAGGGGTATAAGACCTGGTCCCAGACAGAGGTTATCACGAAACGGACGTCATACCTTCTTTCCAGCCGAGTCTTAGCATGGATAAGACAATTCGACAATGAACCCAGTTTTCAGCAGAAGTTGCTTCACACCGAAAGACTGGTGCTATCTACCCAAAAATACCTCAATCTTGGTGGTTCGTTTATCACCACCAACATAGAGGTTCCGCAAGTGATGTTTTATTTATAAAAAAAAAAGTAACAGTCTCACACATTTAAGATGAAGATGCGCAAACCCAAAAGGTTGCACAATGCATATATAAATGCAGACATATCTCAAGCACTGTCAAAACACAGAGGAGATATAAGAGCTAACAAAATCACAGATGTGCCTTGACAAGAAAAGACTTATGAATCAAGGTCAAAACTTGAACTAATGAAACTACCCGTTCAAGAAGATGTTG